AGAGAGAGAGAGACAGAGAGAGAGACAGAGACAGAGACAGAGACAGAGACAGAGACAGAGACAGACAGAGAGAGAGAGAGACAGACACTAGGATCAGCAGCAGCTGGAGGATACTTAGCTAATTGCAACTTAGACCAGAGCTTAGATTGTTTTCTGTGTCATTAGAAAAGATTACACACTCATTATGATACAGATTTGACTGTGCAGGTTAACAGATCTCTGAGAAGTTACAGTAACTACAGCCTAAAAGGAAGATGATGGTGTGTGAAAGAAAAGTTCCCAAAAAGAACTCCTGCACCTTAGATTGAACTTCCTGCAAGGCTGACCAACTGATTATCACTCTAGAGACTGTGGAAAGTTTGGAATGTTGCAGGTCCAGAGTCTAATTACCATTTATCTCAGGCCATCTTTAGCCCCCTAAACAGCCACTCCTTACACACCTCTGTTTCTGATCTAACATCCTGTGACTAACAGATAAAACCCTTTTAGAATGTATTAACTTAGCAAACCCCCAGGTCTCACCAATCCAAAAGCTAAGAATGTCATCAGATAACATCTGAGACCTATAGTAAGAACACTCCTGCTTTGCTATGACCAGCATACTGAATGTATCCCCCAGTGTATTTGAAGTGTCTTGATTTATGACTTTTCTTTATTATGTTACTCTGAAAATGTAAGACAACTGTCACCACACTGGAACGTGGAGTTTGGGGTAACTTGAATCTGTGTTCCCGGGCCATGGTCACTCATATTTGGCTCCAGAATAAACTGTCTCTTATCCCCTTTGAGTGACATGCTTTTACTTTTGTGTTGATAGGTGTTAGCTTTCAATATTGGCATTGTAAAGACTCCACTGTGCTAGACACTTCAGCTTTGACTTCCTCATAGTAGCCCCAAGATTTCAGGAATTTAAATTCTTCAAATTTGTCAAAAGATTGCTCTTTAGACTTTAGGGGCATTGTTCATTAGTTTTAGTTGGTAAAAATCAGGGCAGTTCTCCCTTTAAAGGGTATGGATGTTTGGGGCTTGTTTGATTTTCATTTGTTCTTCTATAAAGTGTAAGCTGCAAGTTTGGTTGTGCAGCACACTAAATTCTTCTCTCATTTGATAGAATCTGGCTCTATGTCACATATGTGATCAAGAGCGTACGAACTGCCAAACTGTTCTTAATCCTCTCCAAAGACAAGATCCTCCTTTCTGACCCTACATCACAGAACAGTTTTGCCATATAGTGCTTTGCATTTCTTAATCATTTTGTTTCCGTTCACAGCCCCTCATCAACCACCCTGCTAGATTGTAATTTCCTAATTTCCTTGAGGACAGGAGAAATTTGTAGGAATTGGTAGAAAAATAGTTTTGATACGGTCTTATATAATTCTGGCTAGCTTGGAATTTGCTGTGTAGTCTAGGTTGATCTTAAACTTGTGGCTTTTCCTGCCTCTGCCTCCTAAGTGCTGAGATTATAGGTATATGCTACTAGATCCAGCTGTGGATTTTCTCTTGATTTGAAAACATATGGAGTCAAGCATGGTGGCACATGTCTAGGACTGCAGTACGCAGGAAACTGAGGCCAGAGGAGTGCCATGAGTTGGAGATAGCACGGACTACCTAGCAAGTGTGAAGCCAGTCAGGCTTACATAGTAGGACGGTATATATATTAAAGCAAAGCCAACAAACAAAAAACCCTACATAGAATGGTGTCAGATTGATTTTTATCTAAAATCTAAAGACTCTTTGAAGTGTGGTGATATTTAGCAAGAAATGTCCTAGAGTATTGGCTGAAGTTCAACATATTTAGAAAATGACTGTTTCCTGGTGATGTTTCAGTTCAGGGTTATTGATGATTTATCTCTGTTTTCAAGTTCAGCCTGGTCCAAGTCCTTTGGTTAGTGTGCCTCTTCCCACTTCAGCTCCTCTATTATTAGCCATCCAACTATAACTTTACTAGAGAGGGAGCATTGAGATGTTCCATGTGATACTAAACTATAATCTTAAAAACTTATTGTTAAAGAATTTAAGCTGGTATTTTGACCTAATTAAGGCTATATTATTTTTCAGCTGAGTTTCCCATTTACAGCCAAAATCCAGTTTATAAAACTTGCAAAGTCTCTGAGGCACACTTCCATGGATATAGCCTTGTTCTTCCTGTCCTATCGTAATGAGCTCAGTAAGGGCTGTTTATGGATGATGGAACAGCTGCCAGATTCCACCCCCACAGTGACAGCAGCTCAGTTGTGGGAGAAGTGATTCTTAAAATCTGCATATTTTCTGTGTACATACAGTAGGCACATATATATAT